GAGGAGCCCAAGAACCGTAGATGCAGTTCCTTCTCCGCAGAAGCGGCTATGCAGGAGCGGCTCCATGACCGCAGAAGCGGCCCCAGCCCGCCTGGACCAACTCCGCAGATGCATGCCCCCTCTTGCAGAAGCAAAACCGCAGATGCGGTCCCCTAACCGCATGTGCGGAAATCGCTGAAGGCAATGCCTTCATTTAATACAGGAATGTGTCATTTTTGACACATTTCCACCATTGTTTGGGCGATTTGGGAGCTTCCAAAGAGAGATATTCCACCTAGCATTTTGAGGTAAGTTCATCCCACTTATTTCTAGTTTAATACTTGAGTCTTGGGTAGATTAACACACAAAGGTTAAGGAAAAATTATGTGGTTAGAGCAAAACTTAGGGTTTTGATAAAAGTTAGATTTAACCACGAAATTTATTATGAAATGAAGTAGAAATCATATATTATTGATTCTTAGGTTATAAAAAATAACTTTCTTTGAAAAATTTCGGAATCCGGGCGCGTGGTCCCGGAGTCGGATTTTAGGAAACTTGTTATTTGGGTTGGAAAATTACTTTAATAGTTAGAATGCGATCTTGTGAACTTGTATTAATTAGTTCCCACCTCATTGAATTAGTTTTGGATCGTTCGGCGCCAAATTTGAGGGTTTGAGCACGTTCTTGGTATTGGAAGTACGCTTTGGAGCGAGGTAAGTCTCCTTTATAACCTTGTAAGAGGGAGTTTGTCCTCATAGGTGAAATAATTGAATAATTTGCCACTAAATGCGGGGGCTATATACGCACTAGATGACGAGAGTCCGTACGTAGCTACTATTATGTTAATTGTCTGGGTAGTTTAGGACTCGTATCCTACCATATTTGTAAATGTTTATATCCTTTCATGCTAATGGGATCACTTAGGATATGCTAGAGATTTGAAAATGAACATATGTGAACGTATGCACTTGCTTGAACACTTGTATGGATTATTTGAATATAAATACGCCTTTATGCATCTTCTTGAGGATAATTGATATTTGTGGATCGGGTCGATCGCCTCGGTAGAAATAGATGCATCTATGGTTCGCGTCATTCGACCCTCTGGCAGTGCATAGTTTCTTTTCTGTTGGACCGGACCGGACCGTACGACCTCAGCATAATGTGCGCATGATATCTATGTGAAACCTTATTCATGACTTACTTTGTTAAATGCTCTGAAATGTAAATGGCTAGCTATGATATTATCTAGGACACGACTTATCACTTCCTGCTATAAATTGTTATTTATTTGTGACATCCATGCTTAGCATAATACTTATGAGACTGGTAGCCAGATGTACCTGCCTCAGATTCTGTACAATTAAGTACAGAAGCGTAGTATGAGTACATAAACAATATGTACCTAGTAAGTATCCCGTCTAATCTCAAAGAAGTAGAGACGAGAGGTTGACTTGATCGTAGTCCGAGACTTTTACGGTGAGTTGTTCCCTTTCTATGTCGTTCAGCAGCATGATGGAGTCTCTTTGTACTTTTGGCTGTTTATTCTATTTCAGACAATAGGATAGATTTATTCTTTTGTATATTCTACTAGTTGCCCACATACTTGTGACACCAGGACTTGGCACACACATTGATAGACTATTCTTTTGGGGTTGTATAATTATTTTTTTGTACGTCACTAGTTATCACTTATTTTAAATTCAAATTAAGAAACTGTTGCAACTGTTTTAGTAAAGTAAACCTAGAAATTATTATTATTTCCGCATTGGCTTGCCTGACAATGGTGTTGGACGCCATCACGACCTATAATGAAATTGGGTCGTGACAATAATATTTTCCAGTAGCTTTTTGAGCTGGTTTTGACTTCCTTGTGACTTTTTGACCAAACTATGCAAACAAGCACAACATGCAAGCTTTCGGGATTACTTGTAACATTTTTAATCCAAAACTCAAGCAAAAAGGGTTATAAAATATACTAGAATCCCTAGTTATCAGTAGCCGATATATAATTTCACTCATTAAGGTCATACATATCGGTCACTAATTATTCGTAGCAACTATATAATTCAATTGACTAAGGCTTTAATATTAATTTTATTCATTAAGGTCATACGTATCGGCCACTAATTATTCGTAGCAACTATATAATACAATTGTTTTAATGTTAATTTCACTTTTTGCTCTTTATAGTTATATTGAACTCTATATATATAGTAGCCGATATATAATTTTTATTCATTAAGCTCCTACGTATTGGCCACTAATTATTCATAACAACTATATAATTCAATTGCTTTAATGTTAATTTCATATTTTGCTCTTTATAGTTATATATATTGAACGTCTATATATATAGTAGCTGATATATAATTTTATTCATTAAGCTCACACGTATTGGCCACTAATTATTCATAACAACTATATAATTCAATTGCTTTAATGTTAATTTTATTTTTTGCTCTTTATAGTTATATTGAACGTCTATATATATATATATATATAGTAACCGATATATAATTTTATTCATTAAGGTCATACGTATCGGCCACTAATTATCCGTAGCAACTATATAATTCAATTGACTAAGTCTTTAATGTTAATTTTATTTTTTGCTCTTAATTATTGGTTAATCATATTATACTAAAATCATATGGGTTTTCAAATTATATTACATGACATTTTTTACACCTCATGTAAATAATTTTCTCCTTATGTATTTTTGAACCAATTCCAAGTACATGAATCGTTTTAATAGGAATTCAACCATTGAATTAATGTGGTAAGTAAGGAGAATTAAAGAAGTTGCAAAACAATTCAATGCAAGACCCGATCAGTCCTCTCATTCATCTTAACAACCCTTCTTCATTTAATTTTCAATGTGCATTAAAGACCGAAATTTCAAAAGACAGAAATGGAATTGAAAATTCAATTGAACTGGTCCATATGAAACTAATCGTTTGAAAATTAGTTTGTGAGTGATATGAAATCAAACATATATGCAGTGAAAAAAATGGGATAAAGAAAAACATGATAAATAATTTTGACTAAAATTTGAAATAAAATATTTGGAGGTAAACAAAGGGACTAGAGTAACGATTGGAGGGAGGAAAAATATTTTTGACTCTCTCTCTCTCTCTCTCTATATATATATATGTACACACACACACATATATATATATAAACATAAGTTAACCTATATTTGCTATGGAACAAACGTTTCATATGAATGCTAACGGATGGATTGAAGAAGAGGAATTCTATCTATGGTTTAGGATGAACTTGCCCAAATCGTACATCAAGCGCGATTATATGGTAAATTCAATTTTTTCTTTTTTTAGTTAACATGAAATGATTTTTACCCTATTTTTCCATTACGCTTGTGCGGTACCTTTCAAAGAAAATCTGTCAATATCTTCATCCTAGTACGGCTAAGACATTACTATGATGTAATGGAAAGGAGTGGAATGTGACTCTAACAGGTGTTGTTCGAAGAAGACTCATTAACGGGTGGAAACGATTTGTTGTCGACAACAATCTGAAGAAAGAGAGTGTTCTTCTTTTTGAACTTGTAGAGGCTACATCAAGTGCAATGATATTCGCTGTTGAAGTGCTAGAATAGGAACATCAAATGCTTAGGTTTTTCATGTATGCCTGTGTTCAACCCTTGTCATTAAAATATTTATGGATTAATATGATTTTCTTATAATATTGTCTGATATTTTTTCTTTTATTATTGTTATACTTATTAAAGGATAGTGAAAATATTGTTTGTGATTTTTGCTTGTTATAGTTTTTTCATGTTTATGAAAATTATTTTATACATTTAGTATAAGAAAACAAATACACCTCATCATCATACGGCTAAAACCTAAACGACTAAAATCTCCTCAAAATACGACTAAAACCTAAACTACTAGGAAGAGGACTGAAAATTACACCTCCTCGTCTTTTTTCAGATGTAATAGAACCCAGAAAAAAAATTTAAAAATAAACTCTTGAAAATCTTAATACAATTTGGTCATAGAGAATTGAAAAAGTCATCACGAATAACGAAAAGTTGTATTAATTAGTGAATCAAAGTATTGGAGACCGAAATATTAAATACAATTCAGCCTACGTGTGTGAGTATGAGTGGGAAAGACATTGGAGATTTGATCAACCAGCGGGTCTATGGGCATTTTCAGTTGGATTCAATATAAGAAATAGTTTTATTAGTGAGTTGATAAAAAAAAGAATAATTTATTAGTGGTTGTATTCAATATTACAAATACCTCTCTTTGTTAGAATACAACGTAACTAATCCAAAATCGTGGGGAGAGATAGCAACAATCATGTAGTAGTTAATATGCCATTACAAACACTATAAGAAAAAAAATTGATTTGTTTAAGTTTCATAAATCACTAAACACCAAAGTTTATACAAAACAAGTAAAATGCCTTCAAAATAAAAAAGTTCTAAACCAAATAAAACAACAATGCAATTCGGCCAACTGATAACCCCAAGTTTCAGCAAAATTCTTTATTATAATTCCAAGTCTGGTTCGGCATTGAGATCAAACAAGCTTGATTGCGATTGTGTAGCATCAATTTGCTATAATTAAAATCAAACAAACACTATAAGAAAATATGATATGTTTAAGTTAAGTAATAAATCAAATGTAGTCGCAATATTATACCTCATTCACATCTAGGGAACCATCAAGCTCAATGATTGTACCTCTGCCTTGCCCATTACCCCTACCCTTATGTCCACCACTTCTACTGGCACCTCTACCACCACGATTGCCACCAATCCTACCACCACCCTTGTCACCCCCTCTAACACCAGTTCTTGCGCCATTACCAGCTCCAAATACACCACAAGGTTGTGAACTTGTAAAGTAGTATTCAATTCTTCCTCTATATCAATTCAAACGTGGCCTGCCACGTGAATTAGTGTACTGGGGATCTCGTAGAGTTGTGCCTTCATTTTCATCTGAGTCATCTTGGTCTTGGTTTGGAGAGATCATTTCGTTGTCCTAGTTTTGAAGATTATGCACCATCTTCTTCAAACTATGCTTAACATATTGAACCTTCACGCTAGTGCCCAGTGCTATATCACAAGCCATGTCAAAATACTTCAACATGCTCCTGTATGTCTTATACTCAGGAGTCATGTTTGGGTAACCAACTTGATGGAATCGATTCAAGTGTGGCCTAATAACATTGCTTCTCCACTTTGTCAGCATATACCTTTCATCAATTTTATCAATCTTCTTGTGCGACAAGATCTTGAGTATATGGAAACAAAGTATCCCTCTAGACTCGAACCATTTGCAGCTGCAACTAAAATAATCATCGATAGGTATATATTCAACAGTATACTCAACTGGATTTCCATCATTTTTTTTATAACTGAATAATCACTAACGATGAATTTCTCAACACCGGGACAACTTGATGATCATCGGGGTTGCTGACTTCACAATCATACAATTTTCTTAGTCGTGTCTTGAAAAATTCATACACTGTACGCGTATAACATTGAATTGCCTGCTTCTCCCACTTGAACATTGACTCGCACACAATTTGAAAGCCCTTTGACCTGTAATCCGCTTCCAACTCTTTCTCATGCTTAGCTATTATAGCTAACTCATATTGGTGAACAAACATCCTAAAAGTACTTTGACAGGTAATTTATCCATCAAAGAACGCATGCATCCCCTCACTTCTTTGCGTAGATAGCATACCATCCCAAAAATACACATCAAGGTACATAGGAACTCATTTTTCCTTCTCAGAGTAAAGCTTGTTGAACCAATTCCTTGTATGCAAATTATACCTTGCAATATATTCTGTCCATTTTCTCTCAAAATCTTTAACAGTAATGCTATCAAGGACCATGGATTTAAATTCTCCACGTGCAATTTTAGAAGGACGAACACCACTTAAGTAAAGAGGCAACTTTGAGAATATATGCCAAATACAATACCTATGTATTGTATTTGGCATCACTTCAGCAGTGGCTACATTAATGCTCTGACACGGATCAGTTATGATCGCATCTGGATGAACATTTCCCATGGTATCAAGCCAAGTTCTAAAAACTAATTTGTAACTATCGATATCTTCATGAGACATGAGAGAACATCCTAGTAAGATGGACTGTCTATAGTTATTGATGCCAACAAATGTAGCACATGGCATATTATATCGATTCACAAGGTACGTCGTATCAAAGCATATCAAATCATGGAATTGCTCATACGTTGCCTTATAGTGTGAATGCACTCATACCACATTTCGCAGCCTACCAATATTATCAACGTCGATTGAATAGAAAACTCCCTATCCTTTACCTGGATTTCACGAAAAAAGTTGAGCAGCGACTGTGCGTCCCCTTCTTGCATTTCAAAATTTCTACTCTTCAAAATATAATTTCTACAATCCTTTGGAGTGCAACCCAAATTTTACGGTCCACCACGTTGAACCTCAACAAGTCTAATATTCTTGGAGGGTCTAATGCCAGATCGATCGTGAGCTACAAGATCCCTCTTCAAAGAATCAGAAACGGACCTCTGTCGAGCCGTCAGGCGCGATACAGATGGGAGCAAATCATGATTGTGATCGTGAACGACCTTAGAGATGCGCCAACAACCAGAATCATCCAAAACAGCAGGTAACCTAGCTTTACAATTGTTACTTTTGGTGGTAAACTTGATTTGCAAATCCTAGCCCTATCACAACAATAGGTTATGTACCTGGCAGTGTCACCATCCTTCTTGTTGGAATTTCTTTTGACAACGGAGAATCCTTTCAGTCGTGCATGTTCTTTGTAGAATGTAAACAAAGTATCTTTATCTCTAAATTGCATTCCAGAGATTGGACCTACAACCACATCTTCTTCAGTGAATTCATTCTCCATTTCCCGATCAACATCACATAACTCTAACTCATTTCCTAAAACCTGCTCCTCATCATCGTTAGCTTCTCCATGATATTCTCCATCGGCTTCTTCATCATCATCTAAGTACACAACATTGTTGAAACTAGGGCTGTGCACGAATCGGATCGGATCGGATTTAACATATTTCGGATTCGANTTCAAAATTGAATGGATCGGTTCGGATTTCGGATATCCGATCCGAATGAACAGCCCTAGTTGAAACTGCCGTGAGAATCAACATCGACCCATTCGTATTCATTCAATAAACTATCGTCCGATGCCATCCCTAAAGATCTGTACAACTCGTCCCTAACTCGATCAAACCTATTATCTTGGTTGATATTCATGGTTGTTGTATTTGTGTTATGTTCATTTGGATTCATATTTCGTTGCACCGCCAAATTTTCTTGGTTTGAATCCATTTTTAGAGAAGGAGAAAGTGTCCGCTGGTTTAGGGTTTGGCAAGGAGGAAAGCGTCCGCTGGTTTAGGGTTTGGTAAGGAGGAAGTATACAAAATCGTATACCGTATTTGTTTTTAAGAAAGTTAGAAAATACAATAATTTGTTAAAAATTAAAAAACGTATAATTTGAATAAAATACACATAAATACAAATATAATACACAAGACTCTTCATCTCCCAATATTTAATTTTCGCATACTTCAAGACTTGAAATTTAATTTTGTGTTTTGCAGGGGAAAATGTAGGCTAATTAGTTAGAGGTTTTTTTATGTCTCTCCCGTGTTGTTTTTCTTCTTTTTATGCACTCTCATAAAGTGAACGAGAAATTTTCTCAAATTAGACGTTTGAGGAATCAAATCATACCTGTTGATAGTTACTAAAAGAAATATTAAAAGCAAAAGACAAAAAAAGAATAACAAAAAGTAGGTTGATCTATTATGTTAATGAAGAACTTGCCTAGGTTGAGAAGCCATTTCTTAAATAGTTCAAATGGTAAATTTTATTAAGAAATAGTACATAAGTGATATAGTACTACTGTATAAATAATGCGGTTGAAATAATTAAGGGTTTTCTGTTTCCATTTCCTAATTTGAACCTTTAAATCATTTTGAAAAATTAGATTCGCTATACCATTTATATATCGCTACTGTTATGTTTTCACCTTAATTTAACATTCCTATAACTTTTATACAGTACTACCGCTTTTTTCCTTAATTTATACATTACCTTTAATATCATTCGGAAAAAAGTGCGCTTTTTAACCTGACTTAGTTCCTTGTTGAAATGTCACGATTGATAATGCCGGTTGGTGACTGACTTTCTGGAGCTGTTGATAATTACAGTGCCATAGTTTAGTTCTAGAACAGAAACAACTTACAGGCAAAATTTCTCAAGAGGTCGAACTGAATCCCTATTCCTTTACCTATGAATATCAACATTTTGGCTTTCCTTGAACCCTCCTATAAATGAATACTGATTTCCGTAGTGTCTCAGCTTCCAACTGGAGACATCACCAATCTTCTCATCACTGGTGTCAGAGATGTATCCTAGATCTGAAAATCTACAGCTCCGTCGAAAATATAGTACAAGAGCACTTGATGGGCAAATTAAAAAGTTGCATCAGAGAGGCCCTGTAGACAACTACCTTGATGCTTGATCAAGACCAGCGGCAGCAGAGCTTACGCCACCGGCAACACCATTTTCCTTTGGAGGCGGCGTACCCCATTTACCTTCCGATTCCAGAGGCTCAAGCACATACACTCCGCCATCAGTAAGTCCTACTGCACACTGGTTTGCTTCAGATGGATGAGCAGCAATCACAAGCGGATACACTCTGGAGCTGTCAAGAAAATCATCAGACAACTAGAGGACAAACATGAGAGGATGTGAAAGTAAGACGAGTTTTAGTCTGTTGTTCCTGATATGATTCATACCTTGGGTTAGAAGGCAAATAGGCAGCAGGATTCACCCGACACCTCAGTTTGAGTGCTGCAGCAGTAAAAATACTCACACTTCCATCATCAAAACTTGCATAGATTGACTGGCTATCACACGAGTACGTTGCATCAGTAATTGCAACGTTTGGTGAAACCCACTGCAAGGAAAGACTTTGAATGAGTTCAACCTCCTTTCTTGAGTTGATCAGATCAGACAAATATACAATGACTAACAGCAATAATTTTGATGATAATTCCAAGTTTTGCGTGATTTGATCAGTCTATTTATCTGAAAAAACATAGAACTATCTCCCACCATGCAACAATATAATGTTTGCCCAATAAAATAGGACATAACATTATCGTAATCCATCAAGAGCAAAGCAATACGTAAACCAGATGTATGCCTTACAAACCTGCTTCACGCATTCAAGCTTTGATGCCTCATATATAGCTATTTGCGTTTCATGAACAACCAACAAGTGCGTCTGATCTTGATGAAACTGAACACGTGTCTGAGCAAGAGGATTTATTGCTCTACCCGAGGGAATCTGCAAAAACTTGCTGGCTTTCTTCTCCCATCCATCCATGCTCCAAACACAAAGCTGAAGAATGTAAAGGTAAGAAACACAGTTAAAAAGAGACATGCATGCCACACTACAGATGTCACACTCGAATATATTACAGGATGGAAATATTCTGGAGAAACCAAGAGAAACAATTTTGGAAGGAAGCTGCTGTGTTTTAACTTTTCCACCATAGACGGATAATAAGAATGACAAGGTAGAAAGCTTCTTTATTTTTATGAGAAATTCTACACTCTTATCACCAACTGAATTTTCTTAAGCGCCAATCACAAAAGCATCACTCAAGTCCCTAAAGTCCCAACATTAAAATCTGGGTCCTGCAGAATTTCTAAGTAGAACTGGGGATTTACCTGAGCATCAGCTCCGGATGATACCAGAACATTCAAAACATTAGAGAAGGCCAAGCCAGTTACTCTCTTCTGATGACCTTTAAGTTTGCTTTTCACCTGTAGATTTTATTCACACATAGAACTAAATTGTCACATAAAAGCAAAAGGTAATTCATCACATATCTGTATGATATTTAGTCTTAATTTATTTCAGGACCTCATCAACTCGAACATTGTAGATTTGTATCGAAGAGTCCTCCATTCCGATAGCAATAATGTTATTATCCTGTGGATGAAAGGCAAGAAAAGTTGCTGCAGGTGGAGGGGGCATGAAAGTTGTCATTGTCTGCAAGGCATTAAGTGCAAGTTAACCCTAATTATTAACCACCGCCAATCACATCGATACACAAGCTATACAACCAAGCCAGGAACATTGGTTTATGGATACCTTGAAGGTCATCATGTTAAACAAGGAAATTTTTCCACCAGATGCTGACATAACATACGAGTCATTCTTGGAAAGTGCAAAGCACGGAACAGCTTCTTCGGGGTTTGTCTCGCTTATATCATTTGTCATCAGAATTCCACTGGAAGGTTGCCATAATTGAGGCGGGACAACAGTAGATGCCTGGAGAGATGTATTGCGAAAGGTCTTCAGAAAGAAACATTAACGATCAAGGTAAAGGAAAAAAAAAAAAAAAGATAACTGAATATGGAATATGGGAAGAGAAAAAGAACCTCAAACTAAAAGCCCTCAGTACCTTTCCCGTAACATTCCTCTCATTACGTGGCCATTTCCAAAGTTTGTGTACGGCATTGTATGCCAAAGCCAGAATTGCAGCTCCAGAATTTGTATACATTAATCTAATAATCTGAATATAGCAAATAAAAAAGCATATCCAGAATACGTCAAGTTAGTTTAGATATCTGAAATATAAACTTGATAGTAGATCAAAGGCGAAAAGCGCAAAAAAGCTCTAAGGCCTGTTGGGGCTTTAAGCACAAAGCGCAAATACAGCATGGGCTTTAATGAAAAAAGGCACAACTGAAGAAAAAGTAAAAATATGTATACGTAGTCCAAGATCAATAATTATAAGCATGAATAACAAATACATGGACAAAAAAATTGAAAACAAATTACGATAAAGTGAAATATCAATTGTTCAGTGTCGCCTTTTCAGGATTACACTCGTTGGCAAGGAAAAGTATGTCTTAGAGCCTTGATGCGACATTGATGCGCCCGCAAACCAAGGCGAAGCGCTCAACATGTTTTGAGTCTCGCTTTAGGGCTTAAGCGCGCTTTAAGCATGCCTTTGACAACACTG